TAGTGACCCGAAGGGGCACCTGCACCCCAATGTTTAGAGCAGCAATGTCTACAACAGCCAAACTATGGAAAGAACCCACATGTTCATCAACAGCTGAACAGATAAAGAAAATGTGTTATATATATACAATGGAATATTACTCAGCCAAAAGAAATCTTGCCATTTGCAATGACATGGATGGAACTAGAGGGTATTATGCTAAGCGAAATAAGTCAATCAGAGAAAGACAATTATCATATGATTTCATCATATGTGAGATTTATGAAACAAAACAAAGGATCATAGGGGAAGGGAGTGAAAAACAAAACAAGATGAAATCAGAGAGGGAGACAAATTACAAGAAACTCTTAATCATTGGAAACAAACTGAGGGGTGTTGGGAGGGAGTGTGTGGGAATTGGGTAGCTGGGTGACAGACATTAAGGAGGGTACATGATGTAATGAGCACTGAGTGTTATATAAGACTGATGAATCACCGAACTCTACCTCTGAAACTAATTATACACTATATGTTAATTCATTGTATTTAAAACTAAAAAAAAGAAACCATAAATAAATAAATAAATAAATATTTTAAAAATAACAAAAAATAAAAATAAATAAAATGAATGGAAATGAAGGGCAAGGGTTCCACTGAAATATGGCTCACTTATTGTTTTGTCGGGTAATCCAAATTTTACATAAATTCACAATAACATAACAACATATTGCCTTAAAATACAACATGAGCCTAAACCTAAATTAATAAATAAGGGTCAAAAGTTTTTAAAAAGTCAAATATTAACAATACCGTAATTTTCTTTGGTCTAGTCAATATACATATTGGTATGCACGATGAAAAAAAATGCAAACAATATTAATGATATATCCATTGGGTAGTTGCTACTTTCATCAGAGTGAACTGTGTAACTCAAATGGCTTCATTTTAATTTATTTAAATCAGGAGCTAAACCCAAACAACTGTGAGAATTTTGGTTTCAGGACGGAATGTAAATACCACAACCTTTAGAATGTTAAGTAAGAATGTGACAAAAATATACAGGAGGTAGGGGGGAGCACAGGACCAATTCCCTTATTTTTCATAAAAGAGCCAATTGGTACTTGTGCATGACTTATAACATAAAATTCAAACAAATGATTCTTAGCCTCCTAACAGTCTCCATTAATCTATTTTTATTAACTATGAGGGAAATTTTAGGCCACGTCTTTCACATTGAAGAAATATTTATCTGAAATTTAGCAATTCCATCAATTTTATTTCCATTTCCTACTTCCCACCCTGTTAAATCCAGGCTGAGATAAATTTGTTATACTTGTGAAAGCATTTATTATAAGATTCCTTTTTTTATATTATGTTATGTTAATAACCATACATTACATCATTAGTTTTTGATGTAGTGTTCCATGATTCATTGTTTGTGTATAACACCCAGTGCTCCATGCAGAAGTGCCCTCTTTAATACCCATCACCAGGCTAACCCATCCTCCCACCCCCTTCCCCTCTAGAACCTTCAGTTTGTTTTTCAGAGTCCATAGTATAAGATTCCTTTTTATAAAACTTTTAAAGTCTCTCCTTCTAACTCATCTTATGTTTAGGATGATATTCACCTGATGTTAAGGATTGATACTTCTAATTGGTGTGATTATTTTGACTTTTCTTTTTTTGTACTTTAATGTATTTCTTGACCTTTTCAACACACATTAATTCCCCCTTATCCATGGGGGATACATTCCAAGACTCCCCCCTCCCCCCCACTGGATGCCTCAAACCGCGGATAGTACCAAACCCTATATATTCTGTTTTTTCCTATATACATGTCTATGATAAAGTTTAAAACAACAATAATAAAATAGAACAATTGTAACAATATATTTTGAAAAGTTATGTGAATGTGGCCTGTCCAAATATATTTTCCTGCACTCACTATTTTTGTGATAATGTAAGATAAAATGCCTGTATGATGAGATGAAGTGAGGTGAATGACATAGGCATTGGGATGTAGCGTTAGGCTACCATTGACCTTCTGACAGTAGGTCAGAATGAGGGTCATCTGCTTCCAGACTGCCGTCAAGTTAGAAAGTGAAACTGCAGGTGAGGGGGTAGTACTGTAATGAGTATTTGTCATTGTAATTGAAGAAAATTTAAAAACAAGAATTCATTTATAAGACCTACTCATGAAGTCCGTATTTAATGTATTTCAGCCAATAGAAACGTATTTTAATAGAAGAATGGATTCAAGGGGGCGCCTGGGTGGCACAGTCATTAAGCATCTGCCTTCAGCTCGGGTCATGATCCCAGTGTCCTGGGATCGAGCCCCGCATCGGGCTCCCTGCTCCGTGGGAAGCCTGCTTCTCCCTCTCCCTCTGTCCCTGCTTGTGTTCCCTCTCTCGCTGTGTTTCTCTGTCAAATAAATAAATAAAAAATCTTAAAAAAAAAAAAAAAAGAAAGAAAAGAAGAATGGATTCAAGGAATCATGGTGAAAATTCTGGGCACTTTATTTCAGTTAACTGATACATATTTTGTTAATAAAATAAGATGACTCTGAGAAAACAACTGTAAGATAGGTCTTTGAAAAACTGACTCTAGAAGTTTGGTGAATAGACAATTACGTGTACTTCAGTTGAATATTTGAACTTCAAAAGCTACTGGTGACTGCTTACATTGTTTTGAAATCAATGATCTCAGTATCATACAGTCTTACAGCTTTCATGGACTTTGTGTTCGTCTGTCTTTTCACATCGGGCTGTCACAGGAGCAGGGTCCCAGTGACCTCCTGAGTGAATGAACTGCAATGATTGGATGCCTCCAAGTAGTTAAGATATGGAAAGAGAGGAAACATGGCTCCTCAGCAAGAGGAATAAGAAGACAGTGAGAAGACTGATCTTACATTCCCTTTTTAGGAAAAAAAAAGTGGGGGATGCAGTTTTTAATATAATCAAATGTAATGGTGGTGAGATATTTTGACAATCTACTGAGTAGTTAAAAATGAGTGTGACTTCAGAAAAGTGTATGCTATTGCCCAGGACACCAGAATTAGGACATCACTCTCTGAATACAATTTTATTTGATGAAGAAATAAACAGTTCCCTATGTATCTTTCAGGGTTTATTTCATTTTATTTCCAAAGTAGAGCATGAATCCTTCTCAATCTTGAAATTGAATGTTTAAAATTTAATATACATAACAGGATTCTCAACTCTCTAAGTTTTTTTTTTTTAAATTCCACTTGTGTTCATTTTTAAAGGGACTTTCAAAATTGTCACTATTATGCTATCTATTAATGTTGTTTTAACATCTTTCAGAAATAATTGGCAATAAGACCTCTGTAGCCATGGCTAGTTCTGACATGAAACCAAAATCAATAAGTCGTGCCAAAAAATGGTCAGAAGAGATAGAAAATCTGTACAGATTTCAGCAAGCAGGATATCGGGATGAAATTGAATATAAACAAGTGAAACAAGTTTCTATGGTAAGATGTCTCTACAGATCTGAACTCAAAATATTCAGTGAAAAGTATCAAAATCAAACAAAGAACCAGAGAATAACTAAATGGAAACTCTACTCCATTTCTCTTATTTTATTGATGAGGAGACTGAGGCCCAGAGGAGTGGTTTTCAGGTAGACTGGAGGGAGAGGTGGAAAGATTAAGAACTTTCTAGCTTTTATTGAACAACCATGCTCTGCCAGATAAAGCTTTGATGATAACCACAAAAGCAGAGTCTTTTTCCCTTACCCAGGTAATTCTATTGCCAGATATTCAGTTTATTGTGTAACTATTACTTCTTTCCAGTTTCTTTTTTTATCCCGAATTATATAGGGGTTAGATTCTGTTTATTATGGAGATTATAAGTGACAGAAAACTATTAGAGAGCAACTCCTGACTGTGCATTACACTCCCATCCCAATAATGTGATTGAGATAAAATCTGATTTAAGAGAACACAAAGAACCTCCTTGAAGGGGAAGTCCCACAAAGTGAGAGGAGTGTGTGTGTGTGATGTAGGGAAAAACAAGCCTATTCACTGTGTGACTTGGCAATTTTGAAGAGGTCTTGCATTTCATTTCAGTATAACTAATTGGATATAAACTGTTGGGAAGGAGAAAATTTCCCCTTCTTCTTTTGACTGGTCTAATAATTAATTGACCCATGACAGATTAACAGGAGAAAAGACAAATTTCATCTAATCTCATATATACAGGAGCCCCAAAGATATAAGACCCAAGAAGTGACCAAAGCAGACCATTTATATACCTTTTAGACAAAGAAATGATAAATGTATGAAGAACTGACAAGACAAAGTAACTTGGGCTTGAGTACTAATTAGTGGGGAAATGAAGCAGAATTTATTTACACAGCCCTCTTGGCTCTGAATGCTCTGTCTGTGGTGATAAGGATGTCTGTTTACCTCCAGGTGCAGGGAGGGTGCCTTTCACGTGTGAGATTTATTTCCTGCTTTCAGAGGTACAGAGAGGAGGGTCAGTGTCCTTCATGCACCGGTTTCTCAAGTAACTTTAACTTGAAACCATCAGTATGCCAAAGTGGCGTATTCTGGGGCAGCATGCCCTCAACCCTGTCACTACCATGTGTAAATTTCTGTGCCAAGTGCTTTAGGAGATAAAAATATGAGTACCTGACCTCAAGAAACTGATTGGGCCAGTAGGAAGAGAACCAGATTTGGAACCTATCCAGGGTCCGCATCCTGGATCCTCTTTCTCATTAGCTGAGCAATCCTGAACAATGTTCTTAACTTGGCTGAGCTCAACAGTTGAATTGTGATGGCAGTGTCTGCTTTAGAAAATAGTTACAGGAATTAAATGAAATCATGTGTTTGAAGTGCCTGACATTGTAGTGCTTAATAATTTGTTGAGTGAATGAAAGATAAGTGTTAATGATTGACAGCTTTTATTATTCTTATTATCTTGGAGTAGAAGATTAATAATGACATGAACAGTAAAAATTTACGCAAGTCAAAATCTGTGTGCCTTTAAAAAAGATGCAGGAATTTAGAGGAAGACAAAATCTCTTCCTTTGGGGGACAATCCCCCAAAAGGGCTTCATGCCCCCAGAGACATTTGCAGAGGGCCTTGAAGATTGGCCAGGATGGTAACTGAATGCTTGCCTTGATTAGTATGTCTCTACCAGTGTACAGAGATGGGAAGGGTTTGAGCAAACTTCTCTTTCCTCACCTGAAGCATATGTCCTTTTGGGACACATAAACTATTAGAGCTTACTGACCTCCCCAGCTGCTCTTAAGGACCATACCACTCCACTCTGTTCTACTCAAAGGAGTGAAGCTTTCTTCCATCGACTGGGAGTCCTCAAGTGAAAGGCCAAGAAGAAAAAATTATAAAATACAAGGGATATTTAAAATGACTAAGGGTTGATGAGCACAGAACCAATACAGCTGCTTGGAGGCTCATCCCATATACAGAGGCTATTTCTTCACTGGTTGAGATGCTTTTTAGGACCCTGGTAAATGAAAGAGAGCCTGATCCTGGCCCCAAGAGGAAGAGAGTTATAATGGTGTCTTGAGAACACCCTCCTTTCTCTGCTGGGGGCAATGGAAGCTATGAAAAGCAAGCTTGACCTAAGTGATAGGAAGCATTGATTTTTTTCCTATACTGTAAATGTCACAGAGCCTGCCAAGGTTCATCTGATATGCTGCTACCTATTTTCATTAATTCTTAAATAAAGGAGACAACACAAGAAAAAGAAAATGTGCTGTTAGAAAACAAAGGCCATGCATTCCTTTGTATTCATGATGTATTTCTAACCCAGTGGAAAGTTATGATTTATGGATGGGGCATATGAGAAGTGACAAGCTGCCTGGAGAGATGGTGGTGAAGAGCGTTCAATTATCTAGACCATGACACCTGAGTGATCAGGTTTTGACAATGATAGAGTAGATCTTAAAGAATCCAGAAGAAATATACCAAACAACAAGAGAAATGTATTGATCTGATCATGATCAAGAAAGTAGAACATGAATTTGGAGAGGAAGGGGAGAAAAATGTCCAAACTAGGTCAAGCCAAATGATAAAGTAAGCAAACCAATATGACATATGAGAAAGATGGGGAGAAGGTAAGAAAAGATAGTGGAGGATTAAATTCATGACCTCAAATTTCTATTAAAAATTAGGTTTCAAGGGGCATCTGGCTGGCTCAGTTGGTGGATCATGAGACTCTTGATCTCAGGATTATAAGGACCAGCTCCACACTGGGTGTAGAGATTTCTTAAAAAAATAAAATCTTTTAAAAATTTGGTTTTCAAGCTGAACTTGTGATATGGATTGAGGAATGCATATGCACCTTTAGGTATCTTGAGTCTAGCTGGTCCCATTTGTCACTGGTGTGACATCAATGCTCAGCACCCAAGTGCTTTCAGAGTGGGGCCTGAGCCTAATTTCCTCCTCAGGCATTACTTTTAGAAATTAGGAAGTAATAATGTTTGAAATAATTTGTAAACATAAGAAAAAGTTTTGAGTGTTTTGAATGTTTCCCCTATCTTGGCCACTGAGTAGAAATTTAAATCTAGAGATTGGGATCTAGAGACAAGCACCAAGTTAGCTATTTTGCAGTATAAGGATATAACTTAGGATGTGTTTGAGGTATGTATAATACTCTCTTGAGAGCTCAAGTATTTTTAGATTTAATTTTATGCTTTAATTTTTGGATGTGAGATAAACTGTTAACTATTTGTTAGTAAATTATTATATAAAAATAAAACCAGCATCATAGTATTTGTATTCTGGTTTCTGATGTGCAGGTAGATCGTTGGCCAGAGACGGGATACGTGAAGAAACTCCAGAGAAGGGACAATACTTTCTATTACTACAACAAACAGAGGGAGTGTGATGACAAGGAAGTCCACAAAGTAAAAATTTATGCTTACTAGTCTTTGTTCTTTGTGTTGTCATTACTTAAGACTTCATTGCTTCATTCTACATCATGTAAATGTCATTTTACAAAATAATTCAAAATGCAGACTTCAGCTGAATACTGTGAAACACAAAAGCCATGAAACCATGAAACCATCCTGTTCTGTTCTAAAATATAATTGCAGAAGCATTAAAGGTGTATCCATCTTGGTCCTGTTCTTCTGATTATTTTAACTGAGATAGACTAACCATGATGCAGCCCCATCTGCGTCCAAAGAGACAGCGCCATCTGAAACCATTCCAGTGGTGAGGCTAGTTATGTATAGGTTAGTGTTCCATACTCCCTACCCCCACCCCCAGCCTTTACCACTTTCCAAGACCACCATTTTGAACTGTCAGATCTGCCTCTTGTGGCCCGAGGGCTTTCTCTTGTCCCTGGAGTCCTTTGCCTCTTGCTGAGTAGATTGGAAATGCCAAGGGCTTCTGGCCCCTGGGAGCAGCCCTCAACCAGTGACTGATGGGGAGGAGGTGTTCAAAAGCTCCAGCCACCTGGTACCTCAGAGGAATCCATCAGAGGTGTGTGCTTTACACTGGCGCCCAGTTTCCCAGCAGGATGAAGCTTCAGTCACCGGCAGAGGGTGTCTGGCTGGATCACAGAGTCTATTGGCTGTCTCCCTCCATTGCCACTCCCCCCACTCCCTGCCAGGCATTCCCTTCCTCCTGAATCAGCTCCTTGTACGTGGAGCCTTGTCCCAGGATTGGCTTCTGGGTTCCCAATCTAAACAATTCCTGTTCCAGTCCTGCTTGGAATCACTGCAGAAACAGCCTGAGTGCTAATGAGCAAGGCAATAATTAACCTGTAAGACATAGGAAGTCCCCAAAATTCGTGAGTCTTGAGTGCTTTGAGGTTAAATAGATGAAAGACACCCTTTCTATTTTAACTACGTTTTCACTAGATTTTTTGTCACCATTTGTAAACCCTGACCTTTAAATAGATTTTTGGATACGGGGATCATAACCATCAATTCATCCAGCTTCAGCTCCCGTTTTCCAGTGCCCCGTGAAGCTCCATTAGTTTTCCTAAATCAATGTTGTGCTTCTTCAGCATTTTTTCTTTTTGAGCAAAAACATCACAGGAAGGATAGATTGGCAAACTTCTTTTATGCCTTTCCCAGCATTGCTTGAGATCATCTCACTGCTTTGAACCCATTTATTTGTACCCCTCTGCTCATGCTTTTTATCATCCTCTTTCAGATTTGGCAAACCCCTCAGTACTGATCATAAGGGATCTTCTGAATCTGATAATGCTTTTTTTTTTTAACCTACTGTGATAGAAGACATCCCCTGACAACTGCATTGCCTCCAAATACACCCTTATCCCTGAAACCTGTGCATATGGTACCTTGCACAGCAAAAGACAGTTTGCAGATGTGATTAAGTTAAAGATCTTGAGATGGGAAATTATCCTAGAATATCTGGGTTGGCCCAATGTATCACTTGGGCCCTTAGGGCAGCAGGCTGGTCAGAGTTAGAGAAAGAGGTGTGACAATGGAAGCAGAGGTCTGAGGGATGCAAGGAAGGAACCAAAGTCCAATGAATGCAGAAAGCCTCTAGAAACTGGAAAAAGCCAGTAAATGGCTAGTCTCCAGAAAAAACACAATCTCGCCAACACCTTCGTTTTACCAAATAAGACTTATTTCAGACTTCTGGCCTCCAAAACTATAAGAAAATAAACTAGTATTGTTTTACACCACTTCGTTTGTGGTAATTTTTATAGCAGCAAGAGGAAACATACCCCTACATAGAATGGTTGAAGGAAATACCCATCCATAGCCATGGAGTCTACATGAGCTTCAATCACAGGCTGCCATTTTTGACCAGGGAGCACAGATAATGTTACAAATAATATCCATTCCAAGGAAGTTGGCCAGGGCCTTTTTGCCTGGAACCTTCTCACTAATTAGCGCAAATGGTCTAAATGCCACTTTATCCTCCTGCAGCAAGACCCTCTTAAGATATATGGCCCTTGGGGAAATACAAATCAAAACCTCAATGAGATACCACCTCACACCAGTCAGAATGGCTAAAATTAACAAATCAGGAAATGACAGATGTTGGCGAGGATGCGGAGAAAGGGGAACCCTTCTATGTTGTTGGTGGGAATGCAAGCTGGTGCAGCCACTCTGGAAAACAGTATGGAGGCTTCTCAGAAAGTTGAAAATAGAGGTACCCTACGACCCATCAAGTGCACTACTGGGTATTTACCCAAAAGATACAGGAAGTGATTTCTGAAGTGGTTTTCAGAAGACACAAAAGTCAACACGTTCTTAAGTTCAGAGAAGCGGGAACCAAATCTAGCCCTACATTCTTCTCTCTCATGAGAAACAGCTTCCCTCATTCTGATACTTATCAAGGCAGGAACATATTGAACTCATTTAGCAATTTCACGGACTATGGATTTTATATTCAGCAGGTATAATGGCTAGAAATCACTGGTTCTCTAATTTTATGGTTCAAGAATTAGGATTTCTGAACATATGTCATCAAGATAATGCGTGACAGAAAAGATCAAATCCTTCTATGATTTAAAATCTAGGCATTTAAGCATGACTGACCCCTTTCTTTACCATGATTAGTGTGCACATAGTAAGAAAGAGGGGGGCACCTGGGTGGCTTAGTCAGTGAACTGTACTTCTTGATTTCGGCTCAGGTCCTGAGATCAAGCCTCGAGTTGGACTCTGCACTCAGCACAGAGTCTGCTTTAATTTCTCTCTCTCCCTCTCCCTCTGCCCCAACCCCCTTGCTCTCTCTCTCTCAAATAAATAAATACATCTTTAAAAAAAAGAGGGAGGAGGGGCGCCTGGGTGGCTCAGTCGTTAAGCGCCTGCCTTCGGCTCAGGTCATGATCCCAGCGTTCTGGGATCCAGCCCCACATCGGGCTCCCCGTTCGGCGGGAAGCCTGCCTCTCCCTCTTCCACTCCCCCTACTTGTGTTCCTCTCTCACTGTGTCTCTCTCTGTCAAATAAATAAATAAAATCTTTAAAAAAAGGGGTGCCTGGGTGGCTCAGTCGTTAAGCGTCTGCCTTCAGCTCAGGTCATGATCCCAGGGTCCTGGGATCGAGCGCCGCATCGGGCTCCCTGCTCA